ACCCCGTTAGTTACAGAACATACCTTGATGGCAGTTTTTAGCGTTACAAGCCCCCCTGTGGTTGTTTGTAAATACGTTGGGTGGTTTCAGATTTCTTCAATTTTAAACACTGGTCTTACTAATTACCATGGAGAAGAGAAAAACTGGGTTTTGGCTACATTTTATGTTAGTTGCAGAAATAGCGGATTGTATTCTTAGTCCAAGTGGTTGTGTGAGTGATGATTTTTCATTATAGATTTGATACAGTAGAATGACAATTAGAATCATACTGTAAAGATAATTTGAGGCGGTGGAGTTTAAGGGACAGCTCAACAGCCTCCACATATGAACTCTAAATTGGTGAAGTTCTGAAGGCTCCAAGGCAGAGCCTGAGTCCTTGGTGATATGTTTTCATATTGCTTTTACCAGCCCATCCCAAAATGATGTAGCCGTAACCAAGTTTAGCTCTATATAGTTGGAGGAGGGTCTTCTGATCCCCTCACCATTTTGACTTAGAAACAATTTTTAATATATTAAGTACATGCAGGCATTCAATTTTCAAATATAGTAACGGGCAGAAAAAAATGCGAAAAAAAACTTTATTCTGTAGACTCGATCCTACTATCAAAAAAGCCGAAATACATTGTTTCTAGATGCCAGTAGCTTGCCTCGTTGGTATGGAATTATCTCCCTTGGGTTTAGGGATGACTTGATCACGTGACCTCGTTGCTAGCAGACGATACCGAAGCTTTGCCATGACGTTATAAAACAACAGAAATCGACTCTTGGCATATTATGAAGCAGGTAGTACATCCGTAACTAGACTTGTGAAACTCTTGGGGCAAATGACAGACGACGTATCGCGCGTCTCGCGGCGGCGTACCCAAACTGGTCTGCAAAACAGTTTGCTGTGAAGGCGTAAATTCAAGGAACCCCTAAGGTATCACAATGGACAATTAAATCAGAAGATCTTTAAAGCAAGCTGGATATGTCAAGCGAGTGCCGAAGAAAGTTCCATTGATGACAACAGAACATATGGAGAAAGGGCTCGAGTGGTGCAGGGAAATGCAAGGTACAGACTTTTCAAATGTGATTTTTACCTCAAAGTTTCAGTTTTATAGGATCACAAGAAAGAGGTGGTCAAGAGGTGGACGTAGCTGCAAAATGGTTCCGAAGTTCTCACCCAGGGTCATAATTTACGGTTGGTATAGGCAAACTCGGGGTAACGCTGCTGCTAAGTATTACAGTAAGGATGGATTCACGCAATTCAACTTATACAAGAAGGCATAGTGGAATCCCATATAGGACAGAGTGTAATACCTTTCAAACTTTTACAGGACAATGCACCTGTACACAAGTCAACACACACCTGTAACTGGTTTGAAACGAGTCAAGTGACCGTACAGAACTTTTCAACGGCATCACCAGACCTGAACCCAATTGAAAATGTGAGGCAGATTATGAAGGACAAATTAGAAAAGTTGGAAACGAAGAATGTCGTTGAGTGGTCTAATCTCATCAATCAAATGTGGGTTGACCTACCCCAGGACAACATAGACAATTTGATTGACAGCATGGGACGCCGTATTCAGCAGTGCATCGAGAGAAACGGTGGACAACAGACTATTGACTTTGCATAAATGTAAACTTCAGTATCCAGAGTGGATGTATGAAAATTATAACTGAATTTATCAGTAAATAAATTTTGAAACTACGTCTGTGAAAAGTCGCATTTTTTCTGCTCGTTATATGATGTGGTGAGGTGAAATGGGGTTTAACGTCGCACTTAAGAATATTTCGCACATATGACGACGTGCATCCGTGTGTATGTGTGGCTGCTTGTACAAGACCTGACATCATTTATCGATTTTTATGCAAACCCAATCGTGGCTGCCTGTTAATAGTATTCATGTTTTGGCCACGACAGGAAATATTAAAATCATCCAGAAAAAGCGCTCCATCAATTGAATCATTTAAAACTTTTCATAAGCTGTTGAAAAATACTGCCTTGTGGACCTCCCTTATCCGCATTTTAATGATCAGACAGGGTAGAACCCACGCGGACTTGAAATTGCCTGTCAGTTAAAAACTCGGATATAAACTGAGGCAAATGGCCCCGGAGAACCAATTCATGTAAATCGTTTGTGTTATCGTGCTCCCATGTCGTGACATAAGCTTTTTCTAAATCGAAAAAGATTGACACTGCCTGTTGTTTGTTTATAATTGCAGTTTTAATAAATGACTCCAATCGAACTAAATGATCAATTGCACTGCGATGTTTGAATATTTGTGATGAATTATTACATTCTAGGTACCAAGTCAATCTTATTGACCATGCGTTCCATGGTTTTGCAAATGCAGCTTGTCAAGGAAACGGGCCTATAATTAAAGGGATTAGTATGATCACGTCCAGGTTTGGGTATGGGTACAACTATGATATCACGCCAGTATTCAACAGTGTTTCAAAACAGAATTCAGGTAAGTGTTTTAGGAGCTTATAATGTATGTTATCAGCGCCTGTAGCGATATATTGAGCTTGTTCAAGAGCAGTATGAAGCTTATGAAGAGAAAAGATCTTCCCCATTATCCTGCTGTTTTTGATATTATTGAAATTTAGGAACATTAAGACGATACAGAATGTTTTGCAAGTGCTTCGCCCAGTGTATTTGCGATATGAGATTTATCGGTTAACAATTGACCCCCGGTTTTGAGATAATGTATGCTTGATTTGGTACCATTACCTACAATTCTCTGGATCATGTTCAATACCTTGGCCATTGCTGTCCGTGAATATACTTTCGAAACATTTTTTTGTCGAGACTGGCGCTTATTTCGCTTAAATGTATGCCGTGCATCAGCATTTTGTATTTTTTATTTATTGATATGCACCATTGGGTGGCGACGGAAACAGTTTTCGGCCTTTTTCCGTGCCTTCCTTTTGTTGCTTGCATTCATTATTAAACCATGGTTTGAGAATATGTGGATTTGTAGAGGACTTAGTAATACGTTCATCGACAACTTGTTTAATTCATCTGAGAATAAATGCATTGAATCAGGAGTATCAATAAAGCAGGATTTAATTTGTTTGAACAGAGTAACTCGAATAAAATCCAGTTAGCTTTGTTGAAGTTCCATCTTGATGATGTAGGAACATCAGCTGGAGTTGTTGCTTGAAGAATGGTCGGAAAATGATAACTGCCTCACAAACCGTTGTGGACTGACCATTCAAATTCATTTAACAGGTCTGTGTGAGTGGGAGAGGGAGGACCGTTTGCTGGTAGAACAGCCAGGTGTGCGAGTTGTACTTGTGAAATTAAAAATTACACTGCACACGCTTGTTGATTACCTGGCTGTTCTACCAGCAAGTGGCCCGCCTCGTAAAAAAATGGCAACAAACTAATGCTCGTTTGTGAAACAAACTTTTTTCTTCTGGTGTCCAAAAGTATTAGACAAATCATCTGAGTTGGTCTATCGATTTCATGTGACTATTAAAACGCGAGTTTTGGGGAATCAGCTCGCTTGGCAAGAGGTCTGCCCATACCAACCCACACACAACACAACACCTGAGTAAATAAACAAGGAGTTTATTACACAGCAGTCACTGAACGATTTTACATAATCAGTCAAAAATAGCATAGTTTACAGTTAATTATTAGAACATGATAAGAATGCAATCAGATATGAAAGTACATAAACATCACATGTAGATTCGTTATACACGACACATACTACATTAATCGCGATACATATTCCAATGTACACAACAATAGTTCAGAACTCTACACATCACCCCAGTGGGGGTTCATACAATCTACATTCTGTAACGGTCCCAAACAGCATATAGTATTCATGCACAACGTAATACAATAGTTAAAATATCCGACACACTCTATACATTCTATAATAGTCACAAAACAGTGTAGTGTCAATCAGTATGAAATACACAATCCTAAACTGCAATACAGAAGATATGCGACACATACTAATGGATGCCTCGTCCCACATAAACCTGAAGGTACTGCCAGGGTTGTAACTTATAGTTAAGGTATTTACAATAGATTAAAGTTAACCTAGAATAACAATGGTATATATGTCAAAGTAGAAGAAAGTAAAGTTTCTTACCTGAGTAAATAAACAAGGAGTTTATTACACAGCAGTCACTGAACGATTTGTGACTGTGTGTTGTCCCTGTTTTATACCTATTCCAGTTATCTTAGATAATCCCATTTACTGATACACTGACGATAAAGTTGTTGTTGTGAACTTCAGTTGCTATATCTAAATCCTATTGCCTAACTCGACTGACGATACGGTGCCAACTGCGCACTTAAGCTACTCTATCTTGACCGGATTATATGATAATTTTCGTAAACGTATTGAAGACATCGGTGTTGATGGGTGAAGTTCACAGTGAATTTGATTAGTTTATTGCTATCTCCAGACCCGGACCAGATACTGGTTTCGGATGTTCGTTATCAATGGGACCCTTGGCAGCTTGAAGATTGTGAACCGTGGTCAGTTAATCTGTACATGTCCAGTTTTCAATAATATATACTGTCATAAATATTGGTAAACCTTTGTCTAGTTTTACCGTGTTAATATGACTGAACAAAGTTTTTTGTTGTTGCAATTATTAGATTTTGTGGTAGTGAGCAATTCATCGGTTTCAAATGACATTAAACAGACTCTACCTATTGCTTAAAACGACCACAGAGTTGTTGCTGAATAGGCTTCATTGTATGGAGTGATTGGCAGAATATCACATGATGTGTATAGGTGATAGACGCCGACAGCATAAATATCGTCCAGACCTTCGCTTGAACGTAGTTGGTCACATAATGTATGCATGCATGCAACCTCATGTAAGTCATTTCCACTTGATGTTCACACCACAGGTTTCCATATGTCATGCTACTATGTGACATGTACCAGAAGGGTGTGAACAAGTAACTGTGTGTGTGTGCGGTGATAGTGTGACATATACCAGCCAGGGAAGGAACGTGCCAAGAGGCTTTGAATCTGCTTCTGTCTAAGAACAAGGAGTTACGTATTCCACAGGATCCAAAACACTAACAGGTTTTAGCCCTGTATCTGTTTACGTTAAGAAAGAGTGCAGTGATACAGCACCCTGCACCAAGCCATCTAAACCTACGGAGACCCTTCACAACGCGTGTCTAAAGTAAGTATTTCAAACAACGATATGCTGGGTTGAAAGTTTTTCTACTGTTTGCAAAAGTTGTTATTTTCCGCCTTATATGAGAAACTCAACTAATCTGCAAACATGTAAAATGAATTTTGCAAATGTATCGTATCGGAAGTTTCATATCATTAAGGAACTGCTTAGTATATTACTACTTACCACTGTTTACTTAAAAGTGTTGAGAACAAATCAGGCCAAGCAATGGACATTTCGATAATGAATAATTATCAACAAACCGTGAAAGCCTGCTAATTGGATTGTTTAGCAGTTTGCTCAGAACATGCTTGGTACTCTCAACAAAAAAAGAAAAAGAAAAAAAAGAAACGCATAAACCATTGTAGAAGAATTTATTGCATTAGTTTAAGAGCAATTATTTCATGTAATTTCAATGGTAAAAAGAAAGGTGACAATTAACACGTCTATAGACAAAGAGTTCGCCAAGACAACAGCAGCCTTTATTGTTGTGTTTCTGTTTACTTGAGTCCACAAGACTGACTGACTGAGTTTCGTTTTTACGCCGCTTTTAGCAATATTCCAGCAACATCACGGCGGGGGACACCAGAAATGGGCTTAACACATTATGCGCATGTGGGGATTCGAACCGGGGTCTTCAGCGTGACGAGCCAACGCTTTAACCATTAGGCTACCCCACCGCCCCGAGTCCACAAGATGGCGTTAAAGTCAGTACTTTGTATGGCCAACATTGGCAGCAGTTACTGCTCGGCACCGTCTCGGCACAGACTGGTTGAGTCGACGAAGTCGAAGTCGCTCTTGCAGAATTCTTTCCAAGTCTTCCTGCAATGCCATGGCCAGTTGTGGAAGTGTCTTTGGCGTGTTTGACGTTGACGTACACGTCGATCGAGTTCATCCCATACGTGTTCTATCTATCCTCCCAAAACTTCCACAGCTTGTAACAACAACATTTCTGGTGGACTGCACACACTTTAGCATACTGATTACCTCAGTATGTAATGGTTTAACCCATGAATCAGTAATGAATATAAGCTATTACTCAGTAATATATTAACAAAAATACATACCTTTTCTAGTTAGATATGACAGTCTATGTACAACATTTACATAGAACTTATGTCATATAGTGTCCAGATTTCACCCGCATATTTGAGTCTTAACCCTGTCACTCTGTCATGTTGTTGGAGCAAGTGGACGGTTCCGTGGACTGCCGAAAGATGCAGTCTTTACCTGATTTTTACATGACAGGCACATCGATAAGTAAATGTTTTGCCTATTACATATTTTCAAACATTCTGAAATATCTGACTAACAAAATTCATAAAATTATCTCTTAAAGTAAAGATATAAAACTGGCTATTATTAAAAGTGTCACTACCGTTATTGTGTCACTACCATAACAATTAGTACCAATGTCCACACCACAACATTATCAATTTCATTATTTAATTAAAATCGATTTACTAGTGTGTGTTTATGTATGGAATTTGTATAATACCATTCATATTCTCATTTTGAATTTTGTGCTACATATTATTTTATATTTGCAAATCAGAATTGAAAGGAATTGTTTGGCTTGTTGGCCCCTTTTAAGCAATAAATAGATAATTTCAAAACCCATTAGCCATTTTATATTGTAAAACTACATATTTTGATATACATGTACATTAAATGTACGTTAAGCTTGCATAATTTATGTTTTGTATATTCAGATTACTATGAACGTAATCAACAACATTTCAAGGTAAAACAAGAAAACAAAAGTTACAATTTTTGCCTACATGAAATATGCAGAAATGAAATAACTGCTCTCTTCTCTACTAAAATCTCTACTGTGCTAAGTCAGGTGATGTATCATTATCGGTTGTTTCAGTCCAGTGCACTTCCTGGGCTATCCTATTACCTAATAAGGGGTGATGAGGAGTTGTTGTTTTAACAATGTGTGGTAGTTTTGGGATGTGGAAGTTTTGGGATATAACCGTTCTATCGGGGTTAGATCTGGTGATCAAGAAGGCCATAACAAGGCATTGGCGTTAGAATAGACAAGATAGCGGACCGTGATGCTTGCTATATGTGAAGTAGCGTTGTCATGCTGGAACAACTCCCTCTGTCGGTGTAATCGGAAGCATGTGACGTGAAAGTACTTCGTTAATGTACCGATTGTCTTTCAAATTCCCCTGAACCACAACTAAATCAGTTCTTTGTGGACTGGATATCGCATCCCACACCTTGACACCTTTCCACCGAATATGTCGACCTGTCAAATGCAATTAGGTTCAAAACGTTCATTTCCCCGACGGTAAACAGGTTGTCTTCCATCGCACCGATAAAGAAGAAATCGTGATTCATTACTGAACCAGACTCGCCTCCAGTTTCTAGTGGAGTGACGCAAGTGAGCAGTCATGATGTAGCGGTCCTGGGCTTGGGTGGTAACTCCTCGACGGCCTCTCCTTGGGCGATCTTGAGCGGAACTGGTCTGCAGGAAACGACCCCAAAGGCGAGATATAGTGCTCTGATAGGCAACTGCAGACTGTGACTCCCCAGCTGCAAGGCGGCCTATGGCGATGTTTCGATTGGCGGCACTAAGTCGTGACATGATGATTTCCTCTTTTTCAGGCAAAAACAAATGACAAAATTAGACACAATACTTGCCTTTTTATAGTGGTAGATACCTCATCCTTTTCCGCTTTCTTGCACGTGGAATTTGCGTTGCATGTTTTCTTGGTGACGTTTTGGCGAATATATCTTCAAACGCTTCTTAAACAAGGGACAAAAATAAAAGAAAGCAACTGTTGATCATACGGTAGACGTTCGATTTGTCACCTGCGCCCCGAATTTAACAGAGCCGTGTTGCAGTGATGGACGACTGTTCTGTCTCAGTTAAACCCGTGAGAAGGAGTTCCACGGGGACCATCGGCTTACAAATATGATCCTACAAACAAGTCAGTCACCCGGATGGAACTCCATGAATGGTTCTGCGCTTTCACAAAACCTCGGGGCGACTAGGTTTAGCTGACACAGTTGACAAATAAGGTAATAGATCCAATTTGAGATTATTCCTTGCTTGATACTATTTACTATGCAGATTTTGTGTCTGGTTTGGACGCTGAAGCCTCTGATTTGATTTAAACATATTTTATTCAGGGAAGAAAGGGATGAGGAACAAGTTATCCAACTTAGGTAACCATCTCCCGAGTATTTACAACATGATAAATATACAACAACATACATGTAATATAGAAAGAAATATAGTACAGAAATGGTAGGGACTATAAATAGTTATTAAGACATATGAAAATATTTACAGCATTCAAGAAAAACGCTTGCTATTTGATATGTAATGCTGAACTGCTATAAATATTGCATTATTTTGAGTATATGATAAGTTCTTGCTACCATTTAACAATAAATCTAAATTTAAAGCATCATCATGTACTTGTAATTTTAAAAGGTTAAACATTTTCGTTCTGTGTTCGGTATATAGAGAACACTCAAACATGAAGTGACAAACAGTTTCTAGTAACTTCCAACATTCACATTTTGAATCTGACCTAATGCCAACATTAAATAAATCGTGATTCAATTCACTTACATGATATCTTAAACGAGTATGAATAATATTTTGTTTGCGGATACCTGTAGAAAAATATGCTGGTGCCATGACAATAGGTTTCTTCAAATATGATTTAAACATCTCTGTTGATGGTAACATTCGTTTTTCTAATGGGATGTTAATCGATAAAACTGTCGTTGATTCGATAAAAGATTGACTTGAGTGTTTACAATCATACAAAGAAAAGATCACTCAATTCCAACTCTTACACCTCTGAACGAGTACAGTTCTGTAGAGCATTACACATGAATTGATCAACAATTATACAAACAGTTATAGAAATGAACGGCGATACCTTATCTGGAGATGGAAAATAAACTAAACACCAAAGACAATACGTTATCTGGAAATGAAAACTAAAGACAATGCGTTATCTGGAAATAGTTAACCCCATTTTTCCGCTGCATATGGTATAATTGGCTTTATCTGAACATCAGGAATTTAAAGAGAACTATTGGAGAGATATTTCTAAGTTAATAAGTAAGAATTTTAACTGAGGATAAAGCATTAAAGGCGTTATTGACAAGATTTTGAACAGACTTGGATCACGAACGCTTACTGGAAAATAAATATCCAAAATGGTTGTAATACGTTGAAATCTTCAACCTTTGACTCTAAAAGACCCAAACCTCACTTTTACCAAGTTTACCACCATTTGAAAAACTATAACTTCTGTCTTGTCAAAATTAACAGTAGATTCCCATCTATGACAAAATTTTACCTATAACTTGATTTTCGTTTGCAAACCAAACACACTATCTGAAAATAAACACAGGTCATCTGCTTAGAGCAAAATATATAATTCCAAAAGCTCTCTGCAAATGAAAATACCCATATCCGATTTCTCCATTTTACCATGAAGCTGATTTATAAACAAGGCAAACAACAACGGACTTTAAATGCACCCCTGTCTCACTCTGCTAAAAGAATCCAAATAACCTGTAACAGAAGATCCAGATAATTTGACACAAGCCCTCATTTTTGAATAAATATCCTTGATAATTGAAAAACATACGATCATGAATATTATGAGATAACAAAACTGAAACCAAATGGGCCTTAGGGTGGTAGAACTTATATAAAGCCAGTGATAACACCAGGTGTTCATAAGAAGGGAAAACATGTTCCACCGGTAGCACCAGCCCTTCACACAATTTGCATACCAATATATACCGTTAGAAATGACCATTTAACCATTTAGAAAAAGTAGCAGCAAAATTGTGCGAATAGATCACTGAAAATTAGGAATGACACCAGGTGTCCACGGAAGGAGAAATATACCATACTCCACCTGTAGGACAAGTAACCCCCATATTTGCAAGAAAACGTAAATGTTAGTTGGATGCCTGACGCCGTAAAAAGAGTTACTGAAATACTGACAATCACGTGACGT